CCCAAACCCCCTTCACTCTGGTAACCACCATACTGTTTTCTGTGTCCATCAGTTTCTGTTTTTCTTGTTTGCTCATTTGTTGCTTTCAGTTTTATATCCCTCATATGAATGAAACCTTATGGTACTTGACTTTCTCTGTCTGACTTATTTTGCTTAGGATGAAATTCTCGAAGTCTATCCATGTTGTTTCAAATAGTAGTATTTCATCTTTTCTTATGGGTGAGTAGTATTCCATTGCATATATGTACCACATCTTCTTTATCCAACCATCTATGAAAGGACACTTTGGTTGTTTAAATGTCTCAGCCACTGTGAATAATGTTGTAATAAACATAGGGATTCATATTTCTTTGTGAATGCATGTCTTCAAATTTTGGGGGTTGATACCCAGGGTTGCTGAGTCATATGATAATTCTATTAATATTTTGAGATGTGTCCATACTGCTTTTCATAGTGGCTATACCGTTAACTTCCCACCAGCAGTGAATGAGGGTTTTTTCCCTCCACAACCTCTCCAACAGTTGGTATTACTTGTCTTGTTGACAATAGCCATTCTAACAGGTTTGAGGTGGTATCTCATTATAGTTTTTATTTTATTATTAATTTATTTTTGTTTTGATTTGCATTTTTCTAATACCTAGAGAAGTTGAACATCTTTTCATATATCTGTTGGCCATTTGTATGTCTTCTTGGGAGAAGTGTCTACTCAGGCCCTCTGCCCATTTTTATTTTATTTTATTTTATTTTTTGGTACGTGCCCCTAGCAGGAACTGAACCCGGGACTCTCTGGTCCACATGCCGATGCTCCAACTGCTGAGCCAAACCAGCCCATTTTTATTTTATTTTATTTTTATTTATTTATTTATTTATTTTTGTTATAGATGTTTCCCCTTTTTCCCCATTGACACCCTTCTCCCCATCCCTCCCCACCCTGTCCCCAGCTTTGGTGTCCATGTCCATCGGTCATGCATACATGCATATAAGTTATGTGGTTTACCTCCTCTCCACCCCCTCTTCTAGGGATCGTCAGTCTGTACCCTACTTCCACATCTCTGGGACTACCTTGTTCTTCAGACTGTTATGTTTATTATATTCCACAAATTAGTGAGATCATATGATACTTGTCTTTCTCTGTTTGGCTTGTTTCACTTAGGATGATACTTTCCAGGTCCCTCCATGTACTCTCAAAGGATAAGAGATCTTTCTTACAGCTGCATAGTACTCCACTGTGTGTATGTACCACAGCTGTTTTATCCATTCGTCTACTGCCTCTGCCCATCTTTAATTAGATTATTTGTTTGTTTGGTGCTGAGTTGTATGAGTTCTTTATATATTTTAGATATTGGTCCCTTATTAAAGCTGTTGTTTGCAAATATCTTCTCCCATTTGGTTGGTTCCTTTTTTGTTTGGTTGGCAGTTTTTTCTTTTTGCTGTGCAGAAGCTCTTTAATTTGATAAAATGATAGTCCCATCATTTATTCTTGCAGTTGGTTCTTTTCCCTTTGGGGTCAAATTCATAGTCTTCTCTAAGATCAAGGTTCATAAGTTTAGTACCTATCTTTTTTATGTAATTTATTGTTCAGATCTTAGATTTAGGTCTTTAACTCCATTTTTTAGTTAATTTTTGTACAAAAGGACAAATTGTAGTCTAGCTTTATTCTTTTACATGTTGCTTTCCTATTTTCCCAGGACCATTAATTGAAGAGGCTTTCTTTCTTTCTTTTATCCATTATATGTTTTGGGTTCCTTTGTCAAAAATAATTTTCCCATATATATGTGGTTTTATTTCTGAGCTCTCAATTTTGTTCCATTGGTCTGTAAGTCTGTTTTTGTTTTGTTTCCAATACAATGTTGTTTTGATTTTTGTCACTTGGCAGTGTAATTTGAAGTAAGGGAGCATGATACCCAACTATGTTCTTTTTCTAAGGAATGCTTTGGCTATTTGTGGTCTTTGGTGGTTTCATAAAAATCTGGTGATTTTTTGTTCTGTTTTTTTTTTTTTTTAATGTCATTGGGGTTTTTAAAGGGGATTACATTAAGTCTGTATATTGCTGTGGGTAATATGGCTATTTTAACCATGTTGATTCTTTCTATCCATGAACATGGAATATCTTCACATTTTATTGTCTTTTTCACTCTTTTAATAATGCTTTGTAGTTTTCAGTATATAGGTCCTTAACATTCTTTGTTAAGTTTATTCCTAGGTATTTTATTCTCTTTGGTGTAATTGTAAAATGAATTTTTTAATTTCTTTTTCTGAAATTTAATTGTTCGTATACAGGAATGCAGTAAATTTTGTATATTGATTTTATGTCCTGCAACTTTACTGTATTTGTTTATTGTTTCTAATAGGTTTTTGGTGAAGTTTTTTGAGTTTTCTATATAAAGAATCATGTCATCTGCAAAAAGTGACACTTTTATTTCTTCCTTCTCAATTAGGATGTCTTTTCTTTCTTTCTCTTGACTGATTGCTCTGGCTAGGACTTCCACAACTATGTTGAATAAGAGTGGTCAGAATGGGCATCCTTATCTTATTACTGATTTTAGAGGAAAAACTTTCAGTTTTTCACCATTGAATATGATATTAGCTTAGGTTTTGTCATAATGGCCTTTATTAAGTTAAGATGCTTCCCTTCTATACCCACGTTATTGAGTGTCTTAATCATAAATGAATGTTGTATCTTATCAAATGTTTTTTCCATACCTATTAATAATATCACATGATTTTTATCCTTATTTTGTTAACGTGATATATTACATTGATTAACTTACATATGTTGAACAGTCCTTGTGGCCTTGGAATGAACCCCACATGGTTGTGAAGTATTATTTTTTAATGTATTGTTGTGTTTGATTTGCTAATATTTTGTTTAGGATTTTTGCATCTGTATTCATCAGAGATATTGGTCTGTAGTGTGTGTGTGTGTGTGTGTGTGTGTGTGTGTGTGTGTGTTATGCTGTCCAGGTGCTGTCACTGATCTTTGTATTATACACTTCCCAGAGGTGTAATGTTTAAAAAATAATAATTTCCCAAGGTTACCTAATTAAAATTATTCAACTACATTAAAGTGCATTCACTAATACCATTCCTCTCTAGAGACATTTTAATTCTGTTTTTCTGCAAGAATCCCCTGTGATTATTTTGAGAAAAAATTAAAATGAAACCAGTCTATTTAGGAAATAATAGTTATAAAAACAAGGCTTCCTGTAGGAAGGTAAAAGAAATTATAACCAAGTTTCCTTTTACTGAAGTTACTGAGAGCCCAGTAAGATTTTTCTACCATCTAAAGTTAAAATGTTATTTTTATGTAAATTTTTGAAAACAAGATCTAACTAAATGTCTGGCTTTGGATTGTACAACTGGAGATTGGTTCTTACTATTCAAGGATTCTTTCTCACAAACTTTTATTCTTATGCCATGCAACTCACCTCTTTTTCAGAGTTGTTATTTCTTGATTTCTACTCATGGTTTTGGGCCTTCTTCTTATGAACTAAGAGCTTTGCCTAATTAAACAGCAAAATACAGAACTAGCTCAACTCTATTTACCTGTTTCACTGATAATTATTTTCCTGATCCCACATTTTTATTTTTATTTTATGTTTAATTTGAGGGGAAGTGTTACCCACATTCCAAGAAAGGTTAGCCTCTGATTCTGCTGTGTCATCAATGCAAACTTAAGACAGGGCTCTATTTGCTGCTGCCCTCTCCCATTTCCAAGACTGCTGGCTCTGTTCCTAAACAACAAGTAAGTAAGAGCCACAGTTACTCAAGAAAAAAATTTGCAATACTACCTGAATCTCAAACTTGAGACTTTATATAGATTGACTTCTTAAGGCTACCCATAGAGCTTTAGCCACCATGTCACCAACTCTTTCATTGATCACAAGTTTTAAGACCTTTTGAATACTTTGCTTGCAGTCTGAATGTAGTACCTTCTACCAGCAGATGGGACTATGTCACCTTTCTATCAGGGCCTCCCTACTTCAAGAATAAATTTTGTACTGGACTTATTCTTGCCTATATTTCATCTCACTCCATGCAACCAGGATCATTCTGCCGCATTCCACCTACACGCTATACAAATATGTTATTAGATAAGAAAAATCAAAGGCAGAAACAAGTTGTGTAATCTATGAAATGCTCCAAAATAAACATCAACACTGACAATTAAAGTAAGGCAACAGAGTATTTGGGTTTCCACAGTCAAACTGCTACCACATGGGATTATAGAATCGTAAGTATATTTTTTATTTCTCACTTCATTTATTTTTGCATTTTCTAATCAGTTTATAACGTATATAACTTAACTTTGGCTATTAGAAGCTCTTCTAAAAACAATAGATTATTATTTAATTCAGAAAGAAAAAAGTTTGCATTTTGTTTGTTTATGAATATATATGTATACATATGTGTGTATATGTGTGTGTATATATATAAATACGTGTGTATGTGTGTATATATATATTATTTTTGATGGGCCTGATATTTTTGTTAAGTTATTAATTCTCTATATAGGCAGGGCTGACATGAAACACCCTTAGAAAATTGTGGGACAAATTATCTAAAAAACAAATTTCACAATGTTTCATTTTCAAAGAATCATTAACATGCTGTCATTGGTAAAATATTCTAATAAAAATAAAATAATAGTTTACATTTTATACCTAATTTTCATACACACATGATCAAATTTTTAAAATTAAGTAAAACACATTTTCTAAGTAAATTTTTCTTGTAAGATGTTTTTATTAGACCTATCAAATAACTCACTTAATATTAAATGACTAGTGATCTACAAGATAGATACTAGGTATAACTTTCTTTGTCCTGGCTCACATATATTTTCAGAATTCAGTAAAACTTGGTATCTAATTTATTGGCCTATTATATTATATATTTCATAAGCCAGAAGAGATGATTTTTAAAAAATTAATTCTGTACTCACTAAATCATTGTTTTTTCTTTGCATTTACAGATGTGGAGAAAATAAGCAATACGAAATGAAAAATCAAACATCTGCGAAAGAGTTCATTCTTCTGGGATTAACAGATGATCCAGAGCTAAATGTTTTGATTTTTCTATTTCTTTTTTTCACGTATATACTGAGTATAACTGGAAACATGACAATTATCAGCCTTACTTTGATAGATCCGCACCTCAAAACCCCCATGTATTTTTTCCTAAGGAATTTCTCTTTTCTAGAAATCTTATTTACAACAGTTTGTATTCCTAGATTTCTGGTCAGCATTCTAACAGGGGATATGACCATTTCCTATAATTCTTGCATGGCCCAGGTATTTTTCCTCATTCTCCTTGGTGCAACAGAATTTTTCCTTTTGACTGTTATGTCCTATGATCGGTATGTGGCTATCTGTAAGCCACTGCATTACACAGTAATAATGAATAGCAGAATCTGCAACCAGCTTGTAATTAGCTCTTGGCTAGCTGGATTTCTCATTATCTTTCCACCTGTTATCATGGGACTTCAACTGGATTTCTGTGACTCCAACATTATTGACCACTTCACCTGTGACTCTTCTCCTATGCTATTGATCTCCTGCACAGACACAGCATTCCTAGAGCTCATAGCATTTTTTCTGGCACTATTTACGCTCATGTTAACCTTAATATTAGTGATTCTTTCCTATGTTTTCATCCTTAAAACAGTTCTGAGAATTCCCTCTGCTGAGCAAAGAAAAAAGGCTTTTTCCACTTGCTCCTCACACATGATTGTTGTCTCTATTTCTTATGGAAGTTGCATTTTCATGTATGTCAAAACTTCAGCAAAAGACGGAGTGGCTTTGACCAAGGGTATAGCAGTGCTCAACACCTCTGTTGCTCCAATGCTAAATCCATTTATTTACTCCTTAAGAAACCAGCAGGTAAAGCAGTCCTTTAAGAACATGGTCAGAAAATGCCTCTCAAATAAATTTTCTTCATAAAGAAATTTATGGTCTGAACTTTATTTAAATGGAAGCTTATGCCTAACAAAATATTAATATTAGTATATGTCTCCATCTACTACTATATACTAGTTCTTTTTCCTTCAAGTTTTATTCTCTATTTATATCATTTTGGCCTCACTTGACTCAACTATCTTTTTAAATATACATGCCCAGAAAATTTTCTGAGCATGAGTAATTTGATGTTACATAGATGAGAATGACATTTAAAAATAAAATTAAGCTAGAACTTAATTTTTAAAATCATTGAAGAACTTTCCCTTTGGACACTAATCAAAAGCCAAATACAAGTTATCATCAAGGAATTCTAAAAAAAATATTTCTTCTAGTGGATAGGCAGAGAGAATTAAAATAAGATTTTTTTGTAGGTAAAGTCTCCTTCTTCTAATGTCCTTATATTTGTCCTTGTATCTCCTGTGGCTTTTACATTATAAATGTTTATCTATGCTACTTGGAACATAGGTATTAATATCTTCATTGTCAATTGCATCTTTTAAGATTATAACATATCTTTCTGAATGCTTTTTCTGGATCAAATTTCAAAGTTTCTGTAAGACTCCAATACTCTCACCACAAAGCATCTTTAATAAACTACACTGATGATTGCTTCTAGCCCATTATTCGCTTTTAATTTATTGATGCTGTGCCTGTAGTTCATCTGAGATTCCCCTGGAAATAACCTGGAATGTCTTTAGTTTCCTAAGATCCGATATCCTCCCTTTTGACTTTTTGGCAATTAAAACCATACGCTTTCTATCTCCTAGATAGTTCTTATGTTTTCTGGTATACCAATGATACCCTAAAATATTTGTCAGTGTTTGCATGGTTTAATTATATATTTCTTTCAGAATTTTTGTGGACATTAGAGGATGTGGATTTAAGTGTGTTTGCTCTGTTCAAATCTTGACAAACATCTTTCTTATACAAATTTCTTAATTATAGTTCTACACTTAAAAGAATAAAACTGGCCCTGGCCGGTTTGGCTCAGCGGTTAGAGCATCAGCCTGCGGTCTACAGAGACCCAGGTTCGGTTCCTGCTAAGGGCATGTACCTTGGCTGCAGTTTGTCCCCGGCCCTGGTTGGGTCGTGTGGGTGGCGGCCACTTGATGTGTCCCTTTCACATCGATGTTTCTCTCTCTTCCTCTCTCTCCTTCCCGCTCTATCTGAGTGAAAAATGGAAAAATGTCCTCGGGTGAGGATTAAAAAAATAAATAAATAAATAAAAATAAAAGAATAAAACTGCATTTAATATTCATCCATTTGCTTCTTTCCTATCTTCTTTCACAAGATATGCATGGAATATATAAGATCATTTAATTTACCATCAGGACACTCTTCCTTAATATTCATTTAAGTTCTCAGTGCTTGGATTCTCTCTTTTTACTTTTAAAATATGATGTCTTCTGACAAGTGCTTACAGAAACTGAGTTACACTTCATCAAAAACAGGTAAAAATTAACAAAGTATTGGAGAGTAATAATGTCTAAAATATCAATATAATATTTATATTTTTCTTAACAAGAACACTTGATACATCTGTTTGTACAAAGTGTTTTTGCTCAATTTGATAGTAACTTCAGTGAGAATTGATAAGTATAATGGACTCTCTTATTAGGCAGTATATAGTGTATTTTCTTGTTATTCCAGAATTATGGGTTTTTTCTCTCTTTGCATTACAAGGCTTTTCATTTTTCCAGTTGTTGCTTTGGGGCTTCTACATAAGTCCAAATACTTGCTTTGCATCTATTGATAGAGACATTACTCAAGCAATCTAGTACTCAATCAAGTCCAGGTTCTTCAATGTATATGGGCAGAGAGAAATAGTGTGCTAGTAAGTGTTTAACAACCAGTTATCAGAAAAAAATACATAGACATATTATAAATTTTATAAATATAATTTACAAATAATAAAATGTACAATAAACTTTATTGGAAATTCTATATACCCAATAGATTTTCACAGAACTATTTCATTGATTTTTATTAATTACATATGCAAAACCAACCTATGTTTACAATTCGACCAGTTTGACAAATGTAGTTGAACTTAACACTATGTAGTTGAATTTAGCTCTCAAATGAACAAGTACAGTTAGATGTTTCAATACACTAAATTACTTATAGAACAAATTTTTGGGGAAAAAAAACAAAAAACAGGTAAGGATATGGAAGACTTCCACAACATTATGAACCAAATTAATCTAATTGATATATTTAGAATATTCCACCCAACATCAACAGAATACTCATTTTTTCCAGTATCTCACAAAATATGAAAAGGAATAATAAAAATCAATGTGTAAGTCAATGAATTGGAAATCAAGAAACTAAATTTAAAAATTAATGAAACCAATCATGACTACTTATGGTCACAAAAGATGTGACTTTGAGTGGTAAACACACTATGTAATATACAGGTGATATATCATAGAAATGTAAAACCTATATAATTTTATCAACAAATGTCACCCCCAATATACTTAATTAAAAATCAATCAATGAAATAAAACTTAAAAAAAAAAAGAAAGTAAGTGCCCTGGTCGGTTTGGTTCAGCGGTTAGAGCATCAGCCTATGGTCCAGAGAGACTGGGGTTCAATTCCTGCTAAGGGCACGTACCTCGGTTGCACTTTGTCCCCGGTCCTGGTTGGGTCATGCGGGTGGCAACCACTCGATGTGTCCCTTTCACATTGATATCTCTCTCTCTCTCTCTCTCTCTCTCTCTCTCTCTCTCTCTCTCTTTCTCTCTCTCTCTCCCTCCCTCCCTCCCACTCTATCTCAACAAAAAATGGAAAAATGTCCTCGGGTGAGGATAAAACAAAAAAAAAAAGAAAGAAAGCAAAAAAATTCAAATTGAGTTGAATATACTGAGTATATTCACTGTTCAAAGATCAGACTTTCCTGGCTAATGTTGGCAGAAGAGTGAGATAAATTCTCCAGATAGACTGATGCTATTAGGCTTTCTCTTGTCTCTAGCACTGCCTGATATAATGAGAGCACTGTTTACCATAATCATTACCTTCTGCCCTATAAATGCTTCAATTATACAAGCTAAAAGCTATTATTTTAACTTATCATGGTAGAGGATAGACCACGTGGTCAGGTAGTCAATCCATGACACCATTAATCAAAGCCTAAAATCCATTATGCTAATGACGTAACTAAAATTAAAGTATAAATTACCCAATCTTGGGTCACACATTTTATCTATTCTATCAAAATATAAATATGCAAGTATTTATTTCAAGAAATTTGTAATACTTTGCTAAATCACTAAAGATGCATGGTCTTCTACAAAGAGAATCTCAGCTATACTCAAAAGTATACTTCTTCGTCTTTGTTTGTGCTATATAATCACCTAGTTGGGAATTTCTTTTAGGTGTCCATTAAATATTACCTCCTACTTCCAGTAAAGATGGTGGTGTAGATAAACACAGCACTTGCCTCCTCCTACAACCACATCAAAATTATAACTAATCTGCAATGCAACCATCATTCAGAACTGCCTGACGTCAAGCTGAATGCAAGTCCTACAACTACGAAATTAAAGAAACAGAAGCAGCCACATCCATCAATACTGGTAGGAGGGGCGGAGGCACAGATAGGCTGGTCCCTCACCCACGTGTGGCGGATAAAAATCAGGAAGATACCTTGGGCTGGGAAGGTCCTCCTGAGTGGTGAGGGGTTCCCCTCCCACACCAGGCACTGAACTCAGAGTTTCAGTGCCAGGAAGAGAAGTCTCCATCACTTGTGGCTCGAAAAACCAGCGGGAACTGAAGCAGAGGGAGGCTGCGGCTGCTGACCCCCACACAGTTGTTCTTAAAGGGCCTGCACACTGACTTACTCGAAAGTGCTCCCTGTAAGCTTGTAGGGGAGATAGCTTGAGGGGAGCCAGAGATATACAGGGAAGAGCTGAGCTGTTTGACCTCAGGACAAAAGCTGGAGAGGCGGCTTTCTTCTGGACAGACTTGCTGGGGGAGGCTGATGTTCCTTTGGTGAGCCCTTGCCTGGGGCAGGCACAGGGCCACCATATCTGGGACTCCAGCAACCTGGTTCACATTGTTTGCCCCGCCTTTGTGATTTCCTCAGGCCCTGCCCCACCCAACTTTTGGGTCCACCCAAGCTGTTTCTAAAGGCTTTACAATAGGATTGGCCTGTCTTCAATCCTGCTTCAGAGTTTCCTAAAATCTCTCAAACAAGCAGCATCTGGTCTTAGCGAGTCCCATTCTGCTCAATAAGTGGCCCCAGGCCTGGACTAGAAGCAGCCAGCCTTGGTTCACAACTTGGCTTTTCCTGGGTACCTCCAAGCCCAGCACAAAAAGCAGCGACGGTCAGATCACATTGTAGCTTAAGCCTGGTGGCCCTGCATAGAACACAGGCAGTGGCTGACCTTGTTTCAGAGTCAGAACACCCAGTGGACAGCTCCAGACCACATCAAAACACCACCACCCAACCACCTCCACAAGTGACACACTCAATGAGTGAACTCACTGGGTACCAGAGCCCTGATGAAGTAAGTCTTGCTCTGTGTGGTGAGCCCCTACACAGCTGATCCTCCAAGGTAGTCAGAGGCCAGAGGTCAGTGGGCACAGCCAATCCTTGCAGCTGATCAGCCTCATTAAATCCCTCCCATTGACGTGCCAACAGCAATCAAGACTCAATTACAACAGAAGGATGTACAGTCCACACTAAGAGTGCACCTCAAGGGCCCAGCTAGGGGGATCAGGGAGACTTTGCCACTGGATCCTACAGGACACCTACAACAATAGGCCACCCTACGAAGCCTAGGAGACATAGCAACTCTACCTAATACATAGAAATTATTACAGGGAAGCAGCCAAAATAAAGACATAAAGAAACATGTCCCAAATGAAAAAAAAAAGACCAAAACTCCAGGAAAAGAATTAAACAAAATGGAGATAAGCAATCAATCAGATGCAGAGTTCAGAAAATAAATTATAAGGTTGCTCAAGGAACTTGG